CTGGCAAACAACGATTTATAAACACAAAGACGAGACTTATTTATGGTGGAACAGACATGTTTCGACAGAACATTGGTCTGTCTTCTAATATGTCCCCCCCCCCAAAAAAATCGCTTTATTATGGTTAAAAATCGTTGTTTGCCTACTTATTATATTAGCAAAATGTGCTTTCTTACTACAGTACTGTCTTGTACATAGTTTTTGGTCATAACAGGCATTCCAAGTCACGTGTGTGTGTATGTATGGTTGAATAAAGTTTCATGTTTATATAAAAAGGTATAGTTTTCTTGGCGGCAGACATGGGGTAGTTTGGTTTTTATCTCTGCGACTTAATTATTTTTACAGACACAAGTTGTACAAGCCCGCCACAGAGGCACGTGGTGTCGGAAAATGGAATGTCCTTTGATATTAAAGATGTTACTCAGATCGGAACCGTTGTTTTATGAAACGTGTATTTTGGAACATTGGATAGAGCCACACTAAGTTGGTCAATACTTTTCAGCCTATCACTAAACGTTGATACTTCATTACATTACGGCCTTAAATTAGTATAAAAGCGAGCTTCCATTTTCGTAAGTTCACGTTTGTTTCTTGTTCGATGACACGCGTTTAACCTTCTTACATCCGGGTGTGCTTACGTGGTCTTTATTTACTAACAGTAAATAGTCTGAAGCTACCCCGCCAATTTTTAACGTTTAGCTCTATACGTTATGTAAGAAATCATTTTTTCTGCAATATATTATTTCATCTTTTATTCGGAGAATTCAAAAGAGTGTACATATGTAAACTTAGTACAGAAACAATAATGGGAAGTCGCATGTATAACAAACACAAGCTGCAGACAGGACAGTCGAAACAGTTTACTCTATAGCGAACAAAGTGCTGTACATACAGTAAGTACTCTACCAACACACAGGAACAAGAGAATAACGCCCCCTAGTTCTCTGCTGCTGTCTTTTCGAACCAAGCCTTCTCGTTCACTGTTTTCTACCACTGTTTGAACACCTGTTCAATTTTCCAAAGCGATACAATCCACAGTTATTGGAAGCTTTTTTTTTTAAGGTTTGGCGCTAGTAATTACAAGATCTTCACTGTACACATTAAAAAGTGCTTTACACAAGGTATTTAATATAGTTCAAATATTTAAAACCCTTCATTTTCCAGTTGGTCAACATACTATTAGGTCATTGAGAAACTAATATCGCGTTTCGGAACACTTTAATTAACTACCCCCCAAAAATGTACATTACGTATAATAGTGAAACGAACCGCCTAAACATCACGTTAGCGAAGCCTATATAATGTGTAAAGTTTAGTATACTGTAATCCCTTATAGTGAT